TACCCATGTTATTTTTCAGGGAGGTTCTTACTTCCTTGCTTGGTTGCAGCTATCACTAGAGCCCTCTGAACTGCAGGGGTCTTTGGTCAGTCCCCTCTGTCCTTTCTAAGTTCCTTCTTGCCACCTCTGAGGCTTCGGCTCACATGACTAATCCCTACTCCTCTCAGCAACCACTTTGCTTGAGCTGCTACCTTCCAGCCTTGCCGTCTCTCTCACTTCTCACATCCAGCATTTTCTGAAATTTTCCCTCCCCTTGGCTCTGTTGGTTCCTCAATAGAAAACACACCCCCTTCCACCTTACAGTGAGTTCTTCCCACTAGCCCAGTTACTTATGAAAGGAACATGAAAGCTCCTGACTTTGTAATCGAAAGGCAAAAGATACTATCGATCATATTCTGCTTTCTCAGCTCATTCAGCTTTAAAAACCCTATTTTGCTCACTTGTTTCACGCATGCATGCCCTCAAACAGCCTCGCTGCTCTCTTCCAAACTTCTCCTACGTTTACTATAATCCATTTAAGGTTGGAGACACCAGAAATGAATACCATTATTCCTGGTGAGGGCATACGATAGATTTACACATTTTGACCCTTTTTGTGAGTTGTTCCTCACACTCTGTTGGCCCTCATTACCACACTTTTACACACAGCATTTCAGAGTATAGGGTCTTTATTTTATTTGATAACTTTAAGAGTCAATCCTTACTTCCGTTCATCTCCAACTAAACATTTCTTTGTCACACTCTGTACACAGTGCTCACCGCTAGAGCAGAAAAATGGTTCACTGTTTACTTTTACAATCCCCATGTCTGTTCTGCAACTAAACAGACCTTTTCTAGACCCTTCTCAACACTTCCTTGATAGGTGGTAAGTTAACATCTCTCTTTACCATGAGGTATTAAGAAAGATACCCCAAAAGATATGCTGGTACACAGATCAGATGCCAGCTTGACATACTGCTTGATCAGGGAAACTTACTGGTTTTGCTCTTGCTGAGTACAGATTTGGACTGAACACATATCGTAGTTATCAAGTAAACAGCCGTCCCCTGAAACAGTATAGACATCTATCTGAAGTTTTCCTTTTACAGGCAGGCACCAAAGACTTCAGAAGAAATCAGCTGCAGAAGAAGGAAAATAAAAGCTATATTCTTGCCAGACAAGTAAGCAGCCTTACTGAGCAGCTGGGAGGATTGGAAATAGTGTCAAATGCACTGTTTTACATACTCAGATACTGAAGATGCTCAAGGGCTTCAGCAGGTGGGTGAAAGGCAGCATGCTGTCCAAATGGAGTGCAAGGGGGACGATCTGGCATTGTGTGGTACCCCACCCAGTCTGCAAGCTTTCAGAGATTTTAATTAGTCAGCCTGTGGCATGCTTTAGCTGGTCAACCAGCTCCAGAACTAGTCACAATCACTGCCGCCTTCTATGTCTCTCCTCATGTAAACGAAGAGGAAGACGGTGCTTTCAACATATAACCTTGTTCTAATTATTCAGCTATGAACATGTCTCGCTTATGAATAAAAAAAATAATGAACACCATACTGTACACTTAAAGACATCCTAAAAACCTTCAACTGGCTCAGCAAAAAATGAGACTCCAAAAAGATCATCTAGTTTAGTTCACATTTCCAAAAGGAATGGAAAGTCTAGCATTTTACTTTTTGTAGACTGTTTATGCCAACATTATTTTTAGCTTGAGCATGTGTTTAAA